AAACGTTCTTATACTACGTCTCTGGGCGTCTAGGTTTGGGCAGTTGGTCTATTTATTGTGAGCACTAAAGCCGCCAGAAAGCTAATACCCCGTGACCGTTGAGGGATGGACCAAGCGATCACCAACCGGTCGCCCGATTCGGGGCCAGAAAACAAACGCTTTTGTTGTTTGAGGCTGCGAGTAGGGCGATCGCTTTGTGCCTCGATGGTCATGTTGCGCCCTCAATCAGGATAGCCCAGCTACCCAGCCGAACCGATCGTGCTGAGTATAACCGAACCGAACCGAACTGAACCGAACCGAACCGATTATCCAACGGCACAGGGTATAACCGAAGCGAATTGAAAAGAACAGAACCGATTATCCAATGGCACTGGGTATAACCGAAGCGAACCGAACTGAACAGAACCGAACCGATCCTCCAATGGGCACCAGGTATTAACAACAGCAATGTTTGATAATTAATTTCTTTTATGTGGCAAAGTTTCCTCTTGGGAATCACTGCCCGCAGCTGTGAAGGACGTTGTGCAGTGACAACCAGCAATTAATTACATGTTTTGTATTGTCTTTTCGTTTTATTAAGATTTCACGGCATTTGCAACACAATCAGTGTATATGCCGAAGTTTAGAGGTGTAACTAGATAGTAATTATACAAATAAAAGAAAGGACGGTAGATGTTAGATAGGAGAGAAGGAGCAAACCGCACCAGAGCGCCCGACAGCCAGCTATTTGTATTGTCTGTATCAGGATGGAACATTATACAGTCGAAACTGTCTAAGAAGGCCACCCACTGTAGAGGAGGAAAGTGGTCGTATTAGACAGGTGAACGTCTTAAACGGCGTCAAAAGAGAGTAAAAAATGTGCATATAAGAAAATGGAAGTGGTCGTTTGTATAGGTGGTTGTTTTATTCAGCTGGCTTTTAGAACAGGTTCGACTGTATTATGTAATGAGTACCAAGTGTTTGAGCGCTTGTAATCTGCCGATAGCGCTATATGCTCTCTGGGAAGCCGAGAATATTAAATATTGAGTGTTCTTGGGCCTGCTAGGCTAATCTAGTCGTAAAGCGCATAGAGCGTGCTTTAGAGAGTGGATGTGTGCTATGTAAATGTGAGCAGTAGTAGTAGTAGTAGTAGTAGTAGTAGTAGTAGTAGTAGTAGTAGTAGTAGTAGTAGTAGTAGTAGTAGTAGTAGTAG